TTCAAGTATTGGCTGCTTGCTTTGATGGTGGGTGAACGAACGCAAGTTAGTTTTCTTAAAAACTTGATGGCATAATATTTAGCTGTTTTGTTATTCATATTTATTTTTTGTTCAAGTCTTAATTCTGTGCTAGATTTTAAGATTCTGATTTTTCAATGCCATTTCTTAGAAGTAGATAAGTAAGTTAAGAATATCACATACCAGAATGATACATAACCCTTAAATATATCTCTAATGAAAAGCGGATAGTGGCACACAGTTTGTAGTAGAACATTAAAGTGACCCATATTCTAACAGTCATCTACCCAAGCCTGCTAACAACAAAACATCATCCAAACTAAGAAGTGGCATGCTTTTAGGTATTATCACTTTTTAAAACAAAGTAGTATGTAAAATATATAGTAACAATCAGAATAGTTTCCTATATGGAATTTGGAAATAGAAAGATAGGCCAAAAATGAACGTAACTTTATAGTGATTCCTGGTTAAAGCCTATCCTCAGGACCTTGAAGTAAGTTTGAATTAGTTTTTACTTTTACAAAGGATCTGTTACTATTATCATATTACATTTGAGGGCACGCACACTGCAGCGTGAGTGTGGCAGGCAGAGGACTACTTTGTGGGGTCCATTTTCTCCTTCCACTTCAGTGAGGGTGGAAGAGTAAATCCAGTTCACCAGCTAAGACCTCATTTTTTGTTTTTATGCAGTTATTTGTAGGCTGTTTTGACAAAGTATATTTGAAGTCAATAATTTTGCAAATGAGTCTGTTACTGGCTATCACTTTTTAATTTAATGATAGCAAAATGGAATTTACTGAGGGCTTTTTGATGTTTTTAACTTACTAAAAACTTTATCCCAAGTGCTCAAAGCTGGTTTCTGCTTTTAAAATGAAGATTGCAACTAAAAAGTAACATTGCTTTAAGTGGGTCTTTAAAAGCTAAGATAATGTGAAAAAAGACTGGTGTTGGAACAGAAAATGTCACCACACCTTCCTTTTCTAGGGAATGAAATCAGACTTTCTCCACCTCGCTTAGTTTTTATTTAGAGATTTTCTGAAGAAAATTTTAATTATACAACAACCTTTTTCTGAGTTCTCACACACACAACTTTTATTAATTTCTTCTGAAATAAATTAGAAAAATAAATTATCACAGATGTGAAAGTCCTCATTAAGAGACTGTGTTATATTTTATAAATATGCTTTACTGTGGTACAAATGCTATATATCATGTTATCTATTTCTTTGAATAATAAATAAATGATAGTTGTCCCCTGCTCTTTTTCACCTGTAATCTCACACTATATCTTAGTCTGTTGAATAGGCCCACAGCCTCCATCTAGTCTCTGTTATCAGATGTACTTTCCCCCTCCCCTTTTTTTAAGAGATAGGATTGAATGTGCCCAGTCTGGAGTGGACACAGTCCCACAACCTAATGGTCTCCTGTATCCAGGGTGTCACCATTTTGCTGCTGGGCACCCTATGAGAGTAGCTCAAGCAAATATCCCCTTGCTTCTGCCTCCAGAATAGCTGAGATTGAGGCATGCCTGTACCCTCTGTTTGTTTTGTAATCAAGTTCCAAGTTCCACACAGATCTTGGGTGATAGTTGCAGTTGTAGTAAATACAAATTTCAGTGAAAGGTATTAATTAATACTTTTGTAAAATGTGTTTCAGTGGAGAAATGGCTCAGTAGCTAAAGTGCTTGCTCTGTAAGCATGGGGGACCTGAGTTTGATCCCCAGCATGCACATAAAAGTAGCTCAGTGGCAGGCATCTCTAACCACAGCATGTGGGTGCGGGGGTGCAGACAGAAGGAAAAAAATTGTTATACTGATTTTTAGAAATGCACTTACCTTGTATCCTAATTGTATTTCCAGCCATGTACTTTCTAGTATTTCAATTACTTAGCTTATAGGTTATTTTAATTTTTTAATGTAGAAATTTTATGCAAATGTAAATGTTCCTTTTTCATTTTTTTCCCTTACTGTGCCAGCTAATAAGTATTAGGTTTCGTGACGTACCCAGTTATGGGAGGGATGCCCACTGCTGTGTTGGGTAGATTGTTAAGGCTGTTGTGAGTAGCTCCTAAGAGGTTCCAGACGTTCCTTTCTGTCCTGCTGTTTTAACAGTTTCTGTCATGACTGGGGCCTGCCTTGACCAGACACATTTTCACTCTGCTGAGTTAACCATGTTTGGGCTTTTTTTTTTTTCCATCAATCTATTAACAATTTCTCAAAATAATATAATAACTGATATTATTCATTAATGCTTTCAGAGTTCTAGACCAGTTGATTTCACATTTGGTGCTTTAGTCCTTCAGTAAGCATGCTTGTCAGGTACTCACCCAATGAACTGCTCTGTAGAGCAGCTTGTGGATGCTTTTTAAGATGGAATAGCTTAGAGTATACTAGTTTTTATGAAAAACAAAGTATTTTTTAAGCGTAAATACATAATTGTAATATAAAAATTATCACTAACAATTTGCTGTTTCCAACCCCTTTCTGTGAATATATAAATTTCTTTCTCTCTAGACTTTTAGACTAATGCCTAGTCTTTGTCTGTTGCAATTTTTCCACAAGAATTTTTTTTTTTTTCTTTTTGAGACAGAGTTTCTCTGTGTATCCCTGGCCATCCCAGAACTCTTATGTAGACCAGGTTGGCCCTGAAATCACAGAGATCCTTTTGCCTCTGCCTTTCTGGTGCTGGGATTAAAGGTGTATAGGAGAACCCAGCTTCCCCAAGACTTTTTCCAAGTCAAAGCTTTATACATATTTTAAATTTAATATGTATTGCTTAATATTATGTTCTAGAACTCCAATACACTGCTTGTAACAGTATGAATTTGTACACTCGTGTTCTAAACTTGGATGTTTACTGAAGCTGAACCTTTGCACACACTGCAGTGCAGCATTCACTTTTAGGAAATATCCGACATGAACAAAAGATTTGCCATATGTGCTGGAAGCCCAATCTCAGTCGACAGAAACTCAACAGCAGTATCTACCCATGTTATTAGTAATAAATTAAATATATTTATGCAAAGTAATACTTTACAGTGAATGTGGTGCATTGAGCTTCAGTCAATACAACAGCATGGTTGAAATGTTACAGTCTCAAGCTAAAAAGCTGAACATGTGCTGAGGAGGTGATTCAGTGGGTAAAAGTGCTCTCAGCATTTGAGCGTGAGGGTCTGAGTTTGAATCACTAGAACCCATGCCAGGCGCAGCAGGTGTGTCTATAATCCAATGTTTTTTCCTGGAGATGGAAAACAGAGCCAGCAGACTCCCTGGAAGCTCCTGGGCCAACGAGCTGGCCTATGTACCAGTGAATGGTAAAAGAGAACCTGTCAACAAGGCTGAGACAAGGACAATACCTGTGCTTGTCCTCTGATGGCCACACACATGCCAGAACACACATGTATAAGCACGCACACATATTGCATAAGGCTAAATAAATGGATACCTATTGATATGATTCCACTGGGTTAAAACCATGGTATTTGAGGTGAGAAAAGTTTGAGGGAAGAGAAACGATAGGAGTGGGGCACATGGAAGACTTCTGGGTAGCTACTGATGCTATTTCTAGTATGTTGCTGCTGAGCTCAGCCTGTTCTATTTGAGGACTACATCCAGCTGTTATGCCTCATGAGTGTGTACCTTCTTGTGTGCATATCGTGCTTGAATGAAAGTAAAAGGCACACTTTATTTTTACATGCAAGACCACTTTTAGACTCCTTCCAGAATTCCTGTTTCTTGAAACTCTTGCCACATACATAGACCAAAAAAAAAAAAAAAAAAAAAAAAAAAAAAAAAAAAAGGTTTTTAGGCTGATAAACATAAAAAGAGAAGTTTGTTTACTGATGAGACTGTCATCTTTTTGTGTCTTTAGTCACTGTTCCGACATTTGTTTTCCTGACCAATTTGTTGTTTTAAATCTTAAGGACTTTCCTTCTACATTTTAAGTAACAAATTAAAGCTTTATAATTAAGTAATGTTGGATGTTAGCAGAGTATTCCCTTAGTAATAAAATCAGCTTTAAAAACAGTACTTGGTTCCAGAGTGGCTACTACTGCCATCAACTGCTTTGTAGGGAGAACAGAATCTGCCTCATTAACTGTAAATTTCTCTTTGGCCTGGAGCCATATGAAAGAGATGCTAGTGAAAGGTTTTCATTTTATCTTTTACCAATATCTATTCTCCTCCTGATTAGTCAGCTCTTGGAACTTCTTTAAACAATGCTAGAATACTAGTTTACCACTGTTACCATGTTGCTCTTAGTTTGTAGACAGACATTCAAAAATTAAAGAGTATTGATTTTTTGTTTTCTTTTTTTTCTTTTTGTATTTGTTTCTATTTAACATGCATTGATGTTTTGCTTATATATTTATCTGTGTGAGGGTATTGGATCCCCTAGAACTGGAGTTACAGAGAGCTGTTAGCTGCCATGTGGGTGCTGGGAAATGAACCTGGGTCCTCTGGAAGAGCAGCCAGTACGCTTAACCACTGAGCCATCTCTCCAGCCCCCTTTGTTTTCTTTTGAGACAACATCTAAAATAGCCCTTGCCTCAAAATCCACTTTTCAGTCAAAGCTGGTCTTGAGTTCCTGATCTCCCTCTACCTCCTGTGGGTTGTGATTCCAGTCCTAGACCACTAAACAAGACTAAATAGGATGTTTTAATTGAAGTAAAATTGCACATAAATTTTGTCTGTTTGATTTTATAAAACTGTACTTTAAAAAACTGTGTCGCATGCTATTTTCTTTACTTTTCAACCAGTACTGAGTTTCTAAGTGACCACTGAACTAAAGATCTTGTTGTTGTAACTCAGCTACTATGATAAAGTCTGTCCTTTTATGCTTTCAGTTGTGATGCTTTATTAAAAATGTGTTTAAATATAGGCTTACTGTGTTTTATGGTTTTTATTATCAGTCAGAAGTTGCCTGTGGATATTTATTTTTGGTTTTTTGTTTGTTTGTTTGTTTGTTTTAATATGCACTATGTAGACGTTCTGCTGTTGCCCGCATCCAGGAATTCTTCAGGAGGAGGAAAGAAAGGAAAGAAATGGAAGAATTGGATACTTTGAACATTAGGAGGCCACTAGTAAAAATGGTTTATAAAGGCCATCGCAACTCCAGGACAATGGTACCGGATGCTCATGGCATACTTTGATGAGATTGCAGTTCGTGTTTTTTTCTGTGGTGATTTTGTTACTTATTTATTCAAGCACAGTACTTTTAGTTTGGTAATATATTGCAAGAAAATTCTACCTTAATAAAAAAAATATGTAGCCTAGAAAAATTATTTTAGCTTAGAACAAGTAGCTGTTGCATTTATATATTTATATATCTATTTATTTAGTCTATGCGTGCTATCCTCAGGAGTCTACTTTTAAATTTTTTAAAGCTAATTTTACTACATTTTGTTTGGAATGTGAAATAAATCTGTATGTGAAAGCCAGTTTGATTATAAAATACAGATACATTTTTATCGTAACACTTCTTAAACTAAGATCTAAAAATTGGCATTGGTCACTCTGTCTTTGCTTGGTTTAATTTCTTTAATCTTTGAAATGACCAGGATAGACCAGGTAGTCCCTCAGATCAGCTGTAGTGTTTAAACCTGCACATCCAGTGCAAGGCAATTAATGTAAATATTACGCTAAATAGTTCAGATCTAGAAAGTGCTCTGTATACCCAGCATTACCACAAATACCTGCAGATTCTAGTTTACCTTCTTTAGAGTCTAGGTAAAACATAAACTGAAGTGGGGAAATAATTAGCTCTCCTTGTACACGTCTTTGGTACAACATTGTCATCATTTTTTAAATGGATACTCAATAGAAGTAGCCAATTTGCATTTTATGCATCTTGCCAATTAAAGTTTAGATGAAGGTAACTAAAGGAGGGCTGAGGATAAACCTGAGCAGCGGAGTGCCTGCTTAACATGCCTGTAACCCTGAGCTCACGTCTCAGTATGGAAAGATGAAAACTTGGAAGTGTGGCGGAGCACCACGTGACTGCAGGCTCTCTCCTCCTCTGCTGGCCGTGTGAGCACTGGAAAATGATTTTGACAGACACTGTCTGAAATACAAAGATCTTTTTGTGGTCCTTTCATGTGTGTTTATTAAAAATAGGATAGCTATTTAGTATATCATATTCCTTTGTCTGCTTGCTTGTTTATCTTTCCTTCTTAACTCTATAGGCTTCTCATAGTTAATGAAAAAAATACTTTTTGTTCTTAACAAGGATAAAATAACAATTCCTTTTTCTGTGAAATGTTTTTTATTCATAAAGCTAAAATGAAATATTTATAGAAAGCTCATCTGTATACATATACTTTTTTCCCATTATCCTGTTGTAAGCCCATTTTCTCATGTAGCTGGTATGAAGAATCTGTTGTATGTCAAATACTGTTGAAATCTGCTCTCAGGGGAAGCTTTCCATGCTTTTCTGCCATGTTATTGCCCTTGCTGAAGCACTGTCATGATTTTAGATTCTTAGAAGAAAAAACTTCAGTATTTAACTTTTTAATTTTATTTCTTTTTATTTATTTACTTCTTGCTTTATTTTATTTTATTTTTTTTTTCAAGATAGGGTTTCTCTGTGTATCCTTGGCTGTCCTGGACTCTCTGTAGATCAGGCTGACCTTGAACTCACAGAGATCCACCTGCCTCTGCCTCCCTGAGTGCATTACAGGTGTGCACCACTGCACTTGCTAACTTGTTTATTTTTAAAACCAATTCATTTTCAGTGAGAGAACGGAATCTTTCTTTTGGTAATGTTGACTTGCCTGTCCTGTGTCTTAAAATCCCTCAGATAAAAGAAGCCAACTTCTGGGGTGCTAACTTCGTAATGAGCGGCTCCGACTGTGGTCATATCTTCATCTGGGATCGACACACTGCTGAGCATTTGATGCTTCTGGAAGCTGACAATCATGTGGTCAACTGCCTGCAGCCTCATCCTTTTGACCCAAGTAAGATGTCTTTCATAGAACAAGTACTATAAATTGATGCTCTCATTCATCAGCTGTAAGTAATATTAAAAAAAAAAAAAATCTGTTGCTAGAGATAGTTATAGCCCTACATGGATTTAAAACAAAGAATTTGTTGTATGAGTGGGAGAGGGGTTCACAGAGCCCCAGCCTTAGCTGAGAAGAGACTGGCAGTTGGTTGCTGCAGCTGAAGGGAGAGTCAGTTTCCTCAGGGACTTGGCTCCTTGTAAGAGTATGTGCTGTGCTTCCATGGATGGCCCAACTTACCACATGCTGGCAGCACTAATTGGACTCAGTGGATTTAAAAATGAGCACAAGTGTTGGGAGGGAGACACGATTAGAGTGTCAGGAAAGAGTTGGAGAGAAGGGAATAGAGAATAGATTTGATCATTTTATATACATGTATGAAATTCTCAAAGGACAAATAAATATTTGTTAAGATTCATAGCCTCAAAAAGAAACAAAAGAATATGCTTTTGATATATTTTAAAGGAAATAGATTAAAAAGTCTATTCTTTTAATATTTAAGTTTTATTGTCTCAGAGTCTCACATGACTGAGTTTTTCATCATTTATTTGAAACAAACCTCCAGGCCTTTTTAAGTCTTCACAGTTCTGAATTACTTAACTAACATAAAAGAGAATTGGCTTGTTCTTGCCTTCTATTTGAAGTGGCCATGTATATGAGAGACTTCTAGGTGCTCTTAACATTTTGTTCTATAGTTATTTACTTTTAGGAAATGTTCAAATGGTAATTATATAATAAAAAAAGACTGGGGCGATGGCCCAGCAATTTAAAATGTTTACTACTCGTATAGCATACCCAAATTTGTATCCCAGCGTCCCTATCAGGCAGCTCACAACCACCAGCTCTATGAACTCTGATGCCCTCTTCTGGCCTCTGCAGGTACCTGCACTTAGGTGCACATGCACACACACAAACACAATTTAATGCTTTGGCCTGGTGTGGTCACACACACCTTTAATCTCAGCACTCCGGATACAGAGGCAGTGGATCTCTGTGATTGCCTAGTCAGGACAGCCTGGTCTACATTGTGAGTTCAAGGGCAACTAGGGCTGTATAGAGAGACCCTGTCTCAAACAAACAAACAAAAACCTTCAAAAATATGTGTAGTGGTTTTCAAGATTAATTTTGTTAATTTTGCACCTATGCTTAGTATATGATAAAGATGTAAATTTTTTTTCTAGTTCTAGCCTCATCTGGTATAGATTATGACATAAAGATCTGGTCACCACTAGAAGAGTCAAGAATTTTTAATCGAAAACTTGCTGACGAAGTAAGACTTTTATCATATTTTCTATTTTAATTTTTATCTAAAATGCTATTTTAAGGGAAAAAAGTTTATTATTAGTTGCTGACATAAAACAAAGACATTCAGTTAAGGAAGTCAGTCTTTAATCTCCGTATTTGTGAGGCATAGGCGGGTAGATCTCTGTGAGTTCAAGACCAGCCTGGTGGTCTACATAGCAAGTTCTGTGCCAGTCAGGGCTACTTGATGAAACCATGTCTCAGAAAAAGAAGGGGAGGGAGATCAGGTCTTTTGAAAAGTAAAAGTGAGATAAAATCATACCTGTACTTCTAGAGGTAAAAATCAGATTAGTATCTTGCTAATTATAATATTGACTTTAATAACACATTAGGTATATTGATTATCGTGCTTATTATATATAACAAAAATCATTTCAAAGTTCTGTCCATGTTTTAGCTGAAAACAAACTGATTATGCAGCCTGTAATTCACCTTCTACCACTCATGGAGCTGAAGGAAGAGTTCTAGTCATACTGAGCACATATCGAGACCCTGTAGAGAGGAGCAAATGAACAGATACTTTTCCGTTATTGTTGTTTTAAGGCTTCTTTCTCAGCATGTTTGTTACAGGAAAATACTGGGTTTTTATGTTGAGTTTTTTTATATTGCTGGTTTGGTGGGGAGGCAAGACAGTAAAGGGAGGACTAAATATAAATATTGTTCAAGTACAAGATATGCTTGAACTGGGTAAGGTAACTCTGAGACCTGTCATTTTGTACAACAAATATAAACTAATTTTTAAAGGACTGCTGGTCTCTGATCTTCCTTTAAGTTAAACTAATTTTTTGACATTGAATAGCCTTAAGGTAGAAATACAGACATTACATATAACAATGAAAAAATTCCTCTTAAGACTTGCTGATTTTTGAAACTGTTTTCATAATCTTTAAGGCAAAGGTGTTGTTACTGTATCAACTTTGACATAGCTGTTAACTTGCTGTAGGTTATAACTCGAAATGAACTCATGCTGGAAGAGACTAGAAACACCATTACCGTTCCAGCCTCTTTCATGTTGAGGATGTTGGCATCACTGAATCATATCCGAGCTGGTAAGAAAATCTAGACTATCATTAAGATCATTTTTTATTTGAAAACATTAAGCCCTACTTTACAGAGGTTTATATGATTTCCTTACTATCCAACAATGAAAGCAACAGATTCAGAGCTAGGATTTCTTTCTGTGAACACTTGACCTTAGCACGGCAAATTATTTAATTTATAAACAACGTTTATTGAAAAATGGTAAAATAAAAAAACACAGTCACTTGAGACCTCTGTCTTAGGTGATCTTCTCATAATACAGAACTGAATCATAAACCTCAGGGTATATTGTGCTGCTGGGTCTGGTGGCATTCCCTAAGCACAAAGGAGGAGAAGGGAGGAGGAACATGTGTCCAGAGTCACCCTAGGCTACATAGTAAAGGCAAGGCTAGACCAAGCTACAGGAGATGCTGTCTCAACTAACAAAGAAACAAAAATAAAAACAAATATTTAAACTTGTACTACATATACTTTAAAATAGATTTATTCAAATGCCTTATTTAAAAACAAATGTAACATGGTAAGAAAGAAAGTTATATTTGTGCGTTTTTAAATTTTTTAAGATTTACTTATGTTTTTAAAAAACTAGAGATTTGATTTGATTTGCTGGTGTGAGTGTTTTGCTTGCACGTTCATATGTTCTCCACATGCCTGCCTAACAGAGGAGCCCGGAAGAGGGTGTCGGACACCCTAGAACTGGAGTTGCAAATGATCTGAACCACTGTGTAGTAGTGGTCTTCTGCAAAATCAGCGAGTTCTCTTAACCTCTCGGCCATCTTTTCAGTCCCTCAAATAGTAGCCCTTTAGAGTATTTTTTTATAACTTTCCCAGGCCATCCACCTGATGAGTGTTAAATCATGAATTGAAAGGACCTTCCCTTTGACTTAGGATTTTGTGTATAGCCATGTAGTCAGGTCATCACTGTGATATGCAGGCCCCTGGATAATAAACCTAAAACTCCTCTCCTCAGTTTCTGTAATTATTTTGTCCCTTCCATCTGCTGGTTGGTGTCCTGTTGTGAACTATTTTCTTTAAGCCTGACCTTAATGTTTTCCACATTACTTAGGGCAATGTGTCTGTCATAATGCCATCCTTACGATGCTAGGGACTTTATGCCATTGCCATTTTCATACACCATGGTGTGATACAACTTATCTTCATAAAACTTACATTCATGTCTTGAGTAAATCCTAGATAGATAGATAGATAGATAGATAGATAGATAGATAGATAGATAG